TTGTAGAGTTAAAAGAGACGGGCTAGTTTGCTTAAATTCAAAAGGACTTCTGAAACGATGATTTTAATGCTAAATTGGAACAATACAGAGATTTTAATGCCGTTATTACAAGATCTTTGAGAGAAGAGGTCTTGCGCTCTCGACCACCTGCAAAAAATAGCTTTTGGAAGTCTGATTGGTCTTCATTTTTGCGAGCCCCTCTTTACTCAAAGTATTACCAAAACTGAGACTTTAAGTAAATGATCATAGACTGGCAATAGATTAAAGAACAGAAACAAGCATAGATGAACACCGGACAGTCACTGAAATGAAACATGTGCACACTGATTCGCTCAAAGTCCGTTTTGCAATCGGATCAAATTGTACCAGTATAAAATATCTTCCAGCCGCATAAGGATGCATAGAGAAAGTGAAGGCTTTATTGAGCATTTATTGAAGAAAAATCATGAAGAAATCCATGTTTGAGCACTTAAGTAACGGCCCTGACTTGACACATGGTCTAGATGGACCTCTAGCGCGACTTCATCGATGTAGTTCACTGATTTTTTCTCAAGGTCCTCGTGAAAACGATATATCCTTTGCTTTTTCTCCTAAAACAGCATCCTGTTTGACCAGGTACCAGCTGTGGTGCACTCTGTTTCCCTCATAATTCGTTTTTGTTTGAACTTTTTGAACAACGTAATTGTAATTGCTTGATTTCCCCAATCGTAGGCTAGCAGCAGTAAATTTTGTTGAATTTCCCTGACATGGCGCTTGCTCCGATTCCACATCGTGAACTCGAAGATACAGACTCACACAACAAGATAAGCAGCAGCAAGCACAAGATTCGCTTGAAAGCAGTTTTTCCATATTTTTTCTGTCATGCTCTACTCCTCCTACTATCCATTGAATGTACTACGGTAAAATGCCCGCTCACCACCACGGCTACCGTACCCCGTTTCTAGGCAGCGTTTGGAAGATATGCGTAGTTTCTACAACGCCGAACTGTCCGTTGTGGGTACACCGGCTGACGCACCGTATAAAACCGTAGCCGAGGGATGGTTGGCAGCGCTACAGTTGAATCCGGCCCGACTCGTGCCCGACAGGTACGGTAGCCCCCGCATGTGTTTTTTCGGACAGGCGCTGCGCCAAATTACAATCTACGCACGACGATTTCTTTGTTCTGTGCACGAGATTTTCCCCGGCTATCATACTCTTCAAGGCAATGTCCAGGCAAAGTTGAATTCCTAGCGTGGCATCTGTCAGTCTCCTGATCTCGATCGATAG